CAGCTTGTCCTAGTCATATCTGAACTCGCAGCCTCTGGCAGTTTCAGTTAAATAGGACACAGGATCTAATTGCTCTATACACCTCTTTGCACACTATGGGTGCTGACTCCACTCTACTCACATTGCCAAACTGAATTTTACTACCCCAGTGCTTAACCTCAGGAATTGCATACAGCTGAGTTTGGTCAACTTCTGCAAATAGCATCAGTGTAGATAAACTCCAGGTGCAATAATAGTAGTTAGTGGCAAAGGGCGCTGGGTTACAGAACTCCTTGACTTTTCATAAGCTCTGGCTAACTTGTATTACTGACTTACTCCCTTCTAAGAGTAAGTTGATATTCATCTCAGGCAGTTTTCATTCTGTGCTTTTTTTTCCTCTTTGTTTTTTTTTTTTTCAGCTTATTGTGGAGCAATGAACACAGGGGAGAGAGACAGATATTTTTCACATACATAAAAGGCAGCTGCAAAGGGGAGGGGATCCCCATGTCCACTCCAGATAGGAGAACAGATAACTTGCAGCAGAGGAGATCAAGTGCACCGACTCCAAAGTGGGTGATGCATTGGAGGAGTCTCCAGGATCTCTTGAATTTGAGGGGTTTGTGTATAACTAAATGTGTACCAGAAGGCAGCCTATAGCGAAAGGATAGACCACATGACACCAGGGTGTTATTCTTTACGATTATTTTCTACCTGCCAGTGCAGACTTCTAGGCTATTAAGCAGCTGCTCTGTTTCACTCTGGCAATGACTGATTTTCTGTGAACTTGCTGCTGCTTAAATGTACATTGTTAAACCTCCAGGACTTTCCTGGTTTTCTGGAAGAAGTGTGCTGTAGAAGTAATTTTCTCTGTCTTGGGGCATCAGACACTTCCCCCTCTGTTTTTTCCTCTTGCTCTTCCTTCCTCTGTAATTCTGCCCAGGGTCATGCTGTGCCCTGCGTCACGGCTGGAAGCAGGACCTATTGGAGAAGGTGTCTGCAAAGAGGTGGGCACTGAAGCTTCAGAGACAAAGCTCTTTGCCAGCATAGCTGAGCACTGCCAGGGCTACAGAGGAAAGCACAGGGCACTGGCATATTCACATTGAATAATCTTCACAATAGAAGAAAATGTTTAATTACCTTCCACAGGGCAAAAGGAAAGATTTTTTTTCACATCTTTAGAGGGAGGAGGGAGATCAAAAAGAGTTCTATGAGAATTATCACTGAAATCAATCCTCCTCCTTTAGCACTGACCTGTTTAACTGACTTTTTCTGCAAGCACCAGTCTCCTTAGTCAGCCTTGCAAAAGAAACACACCTCAAAGAGTGCTATTAGAGCTTTGTAGTATGAGGTCAAGATATTGCTCACTTTGTGGTATTTCTGACTGAAAAAAAACATCATATTGGTGACTAGTTAAAAGAAAAGAGAAAAATAATCATACTTTACCTGAAGCATCAGGATGATAGAGGCTGGGAGCACTTGTCATTTCTCCTGGCTGATGGAGACAGCCTGAGGATCTCTGACTTGCAATGAGAATCCTGCTCTTTGCAGATGGTAGCCTTGAAACTGCACCCAGTCCTAACTGTGGCTTAAGTATCATGGCAGATCGATAGAAACTCGGTGGGACTTCATAGTGAGTATATGGTGGAGGACAAAATTCATCTTTCACAGGCCTTTCCCCAACCTACAAAAAAAAATTAAAACACGTATTGTGCAATAAAATTCAAAATCTGGAGAATATGATGCACTCAATTGCTTATAAAAGCTATTTTTCCTCCCTTGTGAGTTTTGGTTGCATACTACTGCAAAATAACTTTCAGAAAGGGATAGTCTAGCCATATGAATCCCTATCCATGAATACACATGTTCCAGCCACAAATCCAAATAAAGGACTAATCTATCTCAGAAAAATAAACAAATAGATTAAAACCTTCAAATAGTGAAAATGAAAGTATTAAGTCTGGAAAGGTGAGGTTAGTTAAAGATACAAACGTACCAAGAGAGTGGGTAAGTGGAATTTTTATTAGAAGTTATTCAAAATATTTCTCTTTGAAATGCAATTGGGATGTGGTGTGGGGGGGAAGTCTGTTTCAATTTAAATAGCTATAAAGACTCTTGGAGGTATTTTAAGTTCTTTTTATTGAGAAAATAGTATTATTAAATTGTTCATATGTGAAAAAAATGTCTGCATGTTCCTAATATTAATATGTTCACTATGTTCACAGTAGTCCATGTCACTGAGGTTTCAGAAAAGCAACACAACTTTGCAGGAACACAGGTTTCTTGCATGAAATGATAACCTATCAAAATGATAGGTTTTCAGAGTGCTCATGAAGTCTTCCAAATCAGAGCTATAAAATGCAGCTGAGCAGTGGAGAAAAGCAAGTGCAAAAATGTTTTGCCAATGTAAAACATGTACTCTTTGTCATAAATAGACTTTTTTTTTTTTACTAAAATTAGCAACAGATCTCCCAGTGTTTTAACAGGAATATATTGTAAGGATAGCACAGTAAGCCCCAAGCTGGAAGTTTTTCAAGTAAATTGGCTGTTAGCCAAGAATTTAGAGTTGAGGAATGAGCTGGTTCCCTGCTTTGGCCCTTGAACCTTCCTCCCCATGAGCAGGACCCTGCTCGGGGCTGCCTGCCCGTGTGCTCTTTGCCATGACTTGGGCCACGGAGTGGATCTGCCCTCCACCTCGCTCATTTGCTAAGACTTGTTTGCTCTTTGACCCTTGTCTAATGCTCCTGGGTGCAGCCCAACTACTGCAGAATTTTCTTATAAAATATAAAACTATAGTAACTTAGCAAGGACACACTTAATAATTTTTCAGTGCATCCAACTTAGGAAAAGAGGAAAAAAATTAAAAAGTAGGTTTAGGAAACAGGAAATCAGGGCTAGATTTGTTTAAAAATTAATCAAAAAAGTGCCATAGGCTACCTAAGAAGAAATGCAACAGCCGATTAATTAGTTTTGTTGTAAGCTATGATGCATATAATACACCAAATCGGTTTCTACTTGGCAATTATAAGCATTTAGAACATGCACTTGAACATTAGCTATAAAAGCTTTGATCCTAGCGGCTTCTTGAGTTTTAATCCTAATTTAGCAAATTTTTAATATGCCAAAAGATACAAAACTAGCCTTAAACTATTACTGAGTTTAGAATTTTTAAAGCTTTTGCACAGGAAACTAGGAAGACAGACAAGAGAGACTGTGAGAGATATTTTTGCAGTCCTGTTTTCAGCAATTAAATCGTCTTTCATTTTTTAAATTATATTTCTATGACCTATTTCAGCAAGTTCAGATGCAGTTTTTTTTTGCTTAGATTCTCTGCTCTTATTTCAAAATTCTGTATATGAGATTCTTTTCCTGGATAAGATTCATTTATGATTTTCTACCTGATGAGCTTATTTCAATGAGATTTCCTTATATACTTCCTATGATATTTAACTGGCAATGATCACCAATGAAAAGTTTGTCAGAATAAGAAATAGAATCACAGAGTGCTTAAGGTTGGAAGGGACCTCTAGAGATCATCTAGTCCAACCCCCCTGCACACGCAGGGTCACCTAGAGCACGTGGCACAGGACTGCGTCCAAGCGGGTTTTGAAGATCTCCAGAGAAGGAGACTCCACAACTTCTCTGGGCAGCCTGTTCCAGTGCTCTGTCACCCTCACTGTTAAAAAAAAAATTACTTAAGTTCCTGTGGAACTTTTGGTGCTTCAGTTTGTGGCCATTACCTCTAGTTCTGTCAGTGGCCACCAGTGAAAAGAGACCAGCACCATCCTCCTCACTGCCTCCCTTGAGGTACTTATAGACACTGATCAGATCCCCTCTCAGCCTTCTCTTCTCCAGGCTGAACAGGCCCAACTCCCTCAGCCTCTCCTCATAGGGCAGATGTTCCAGGCCCCTGATCATCCTTGTAGCCCTGCGCTGGGCTCTCTCCAGCAGCTCCACATCCCTCTTGTACTAGGGGAAAACCTTTAAAATTAGAAACCATGATTTTTTGATAAAATGAGTTAGCCTGGCTAAGCTTTCAGTGACCACACTTTTATCTTTACTGATGCTGTGCTACATGTAGCACAGAAAGAACACAAACATGCACACAAATACAAACGCAAGCTTAGTACACCTTTTAGTCTGGGGTAAATGAGAAGGATTTGCCCAACTATTTTTCAGGAAATTTTGATTTCTCTTTTAAAGACATCAATTTGCAGGAAGACATAAGCTTGCTATGAAGACACAATACTATTTATTATTCTGTATTTATCAGCAAATTCATGAAGTGAATTCATGAATTTCAACAGGCCTCGACAGAATCATATAGGCTTACTGGGCCATTTCAAAGCTGTTCAGAGAGATCTGGACTCATATGAGTCCTGTTAGTGTTCTGTAGATTTTTGCATGAGAGACTTTTAAACAGCTGTTGAAGCCTGTTAACTAAAAATAAGGACTCCCTTCAGTTCACAATTTTACTGCATGCGACTCTATATTTCCCACGCACTCCATTTAATGTGCTAAAAAGGGATGGAAACTCTACAGCAAATATGTAAAACCTAGAGGAATTTCCATAACCTGGATGATTCCAAGCAGAACTGGCAACACTGCCAATAGGTAAAGTTGTTCAGAACTTGCCTTCATGTTACTTTGTTTGTATCACTGTCAAACCTCAGTGCCGCAAGCAGAATCTTTCTTGTCAAGTGTCTGCTTCACGCAGTTATTTGGGAAAAGAGTCAGCAAAATTGCTTCAGTCATTTCAGATAATGAGATTAGGGGGAAAATATGTTGTTTTGCCTATATGCACTTCCCTTACCCCTTTCAACAGGCCTTCCACTTCAACAGGCTTCAGCCCATGCTCTTTGAGACAGAAAGAAGTCCATGCAGGAAAACTGCCCCAAATAAACCACACAGGTTTCAGCACACAAAGAGCTGAAAGTGCCAAAAATGCCAGCAATTAGCTCCCCCCAAAATTTATTTAATTGTTCCTGCTATTTAGCTGAAGGCTGCTCAGAGGTTACAAGTCTGATTGACAGCACTTATTAATACTCTTTATCGTAACTACAGAGAAAACTATAAAAATTTAATCAAAGTCTTCCAAAACCCCATCTGGATATGGGAAACAGGGCAGCCTGGGTTAACGTAAAAATAGTTAATAATAGTTAGTAATAGTTAATAATGGTAATTTCATAAGGACTCGTCCATGAGGTAGTTAATAATAACTAGTTAGTTAACTAGTTAATAATAGTAATAGTTAAATTGGGTTAACTTTTCCTTCCCAGTACCTCCTCCAGACAGTGTTTCTGAATAACTTTGGGTTCAAACTTTTTTCCCTTGATAGGTCTATCTAAAATTATATTGCTTAGTGAAAAAGGTGTGCTTTGCATCTTCTCCATTAATGTTCTCTTTGAGTTACTTTTCCCTAATCCTAGTCTAGAGTAAACCACACTGCAGATCTGCTACAACCTGGCTCCTTTTCGTGCCAGGAACTGAACAGTGCTCAGAAATTGTTTGTCTTCACTCCCAGCTCTGCCGGCAATGCCTGATTATCTGAAGCCCAGCTCTATGGACTGCAGGCTCCTATGGCCTTTAAGGGGTCACAGCACTACAAGCAGCCAAGGAGCTGTGAAGTTCTGGTTATTTTGGCTTTAATTTCAGTTGCCATTCATTGTAATCTGCCACGGACAGGCCCATAATGACATAATTTCTCATCTGCATGCAAAATATAAGGGATGCAACTGGAAGCTGAAGTCAGAGGAAGAAAGGCAATGAGCACTGTCTTTTCTGTGTTTGGGATGAGATAGTGCTCGACAGAGAAGTATAATCCATGGTCATTTCACTAACCACCAGACTGCCTCTTAACATGCATGCCAAACGGACCAAGCTACACTCACACAAGATGTCTTAATTTGGATACATAATATATTTTAATTTGGATACTTGCTGGCTTTTGATAGTCAACACTGTCACTTTATGTGTTACTTTAATGCTGTTTCCTATACAAAAACTGCTGATGGAATGAGATGGGCATTAAAAAAGTCTCAGTAGCACACCATGAAACACACAAAACAAAACAAAAACACCCTAGTTTTTAAGAGTCATTCAAATTAAATACATTTCTGTGATCCTAGGTATTTATAAACAAGATTTCCAGTCACGTATCATAGCCCCAGCTCTAACTCCCTCTTCATCTTTTCTCCACCTACCACGGTGGAGCCACTGCTGATGGAATGAGATGGGCATTAAAAAAGTCTCAGTAGCACACCATGAAACGCAGAAAACAAAACAAAACAAAAACACCCTACTTTTTAAGAGTCATTCAAATTAAATACATTTCTGTGACCCTCCGTAATTATATACGAGACTTCCAGTCACATATCATAGCCCTAGCTCTAACTCCCTCTTCTCCATCTTTTCTTTACCTACCACGGTGGAGCTATGTCAGCTTTCCTCCACAGCTCTTACCTCCCAGCAGGGATGTACTGGGAATCTAGTTGCCTGCGCAAATTATCAAAGTGGAGAACATGCAACTAACTACCAGGACCCAGTATTGGGTAGAACGAATTCCTTCAACTTTTGAGTGGTCAGAAATATTTTCTGAGGAAAGGAGATTTCTTATTGAAGATTCTGTTCAAAATAACGTGCTTTAAAATAAATGAAAACCTTTCCTGCAAGATATATATTACCTAATATGAGCTTTGAAAGAACTGTAGAACTGTACAGAAGGGAATTAACTGAATCTTCTGGTGCTCTGTCTGCAAATATGTACCAAGTTTCCCATTAAGGAGGAAAAGTCTCTGTGGGCAACTCATGCTCATTTCCCAAAGCTATTCCTTCAAGAAAAAAATTAGTTCCATTCACGGATATGCTCAAACTGCAGGACTTTTTTCTTTTCAAACATCCCTATTTATAGCACTAGCAGGTGACTCTTTTGCTGGAAAATGTTACAGGAATGCAATGACAAATTCCAGTCAAGTCACAGATCAGACACCACAACAGGGTCAGTGCCAGAAACAGCTGAGTAAGTTCATTTCTAGTAATCACACATCATCTGGATTTAGAATTTTTCATATTTGAGGTTTGGGAACTAATTTCTGGAAGCAACAAGTAAGCAAATGAATACCATCTGACATACAAAAGAGGCTGTCAAAGTTACTTCCTTACCTCCTGTAGAAATTTTTCACTCATTGGTCCAAAGTGATGACCAGGGGGCCTAATTCCTGAAACCACAAGTCCAGAACTAAAGATCCTTGGCTTCTGGAGGTCAGGTTTATATTTGTCATACAGGATGCTGGGGGGCTTCGCATCGCCTCCATTTGATGCCTTCTCTTCCTTAGAGATGGGCATGCCACATGCCGGGGCGCCATATGGCAGCCCTGCAGAGGCAAATGAAGGGTCAAGCTGATCTATTGAACGAGGATTTCTCCTAATGTAAGTGATGATTTTAGGTCTCACATGTTTGGGCTTGGGTATGGCAGGCTTCATCTCGATGCTTTCCTCCAGCTTTTCGCTGCAATCACTGTCCACATCAGCCTTATCTCCGAGGGAGCCCTTGGAGTGGACCAAGATGGGTTTGGGGATTGCACTGCTGCAAACAGTCTTGATGATAGGCACTTTAGGGGATATGCTTAACAACTGTGTGCTGTCAATGGGAGGTAGGACTGTGGGGGGTGACAGTTTGTCAACAGGAAGTGCATAAAGGTCCTTCAGGTTGCTGTTGGATAGCGCGGGCTGGTTATTGACATTCAGAGTGGCCACCGGGCGCAAGGGAGTTGGGACGCACAGAAAGGCTTCAGCCTTTGCTGCGATTTTGTAGCTCTCTGGTGCTTCGTATGAAAGGTGTTTCTTTGCAATAGCTGTCTTTTTACTTGGAGCTGACGAGCTGGAGGTTTTCACCCCACTGTCCTCGTTGCTACGCTGTTCATTTGATACTGTTTCTGTACTGAGCACTCCAGGCTGATCTGAGAGATCGGAAGGCAGCACAGGGGCATCTTCACTGTTTCCTTTGAGCGGCATCGGTTTATCCTCATTAGCTTTCAACGGTTTGCTCTCAGATAGATTATTATTGTGCATAAGAGATTCCTGCTCACCCACCATTTCACAGCAAACTGTGTCAACTTTACATGAATTTTCATTTTTTCCAAGTGTTTCTTTGCTATCACAAATGGGTGGGAATACTGATTCCACTTCTTTGTTGGTGAAATATTCCTCACCAATAGTTGCCCTGCTGTCAGTCTCACTGCTGCCTCCTCCTGCTCTGTGCCCAGTGTTGCTATCACTTTGCAATTTGTCACTGGAGTGGGTGACCACCTGACTTGGCAATGGATCCTCTACTTTATTACAGATGTCTGGGAAATTGGAAGCTTGAAATTTTGATGCATCAGATCTAGAACCTTTCTTTTCTTGCATTATTACATGTTCCTCTTTTTGACACCCCAGAAATTCTACCAGCATAATTCTCTCAATCTTTTGTTGACATATGTTTTTAGATTGTAGAGATGATACAGTTTTAAACTCCAGTTTTTTACTTTTATCCCCCTGACCTAATTGTGCTTCTGATTTACTAGCAATCTCAGTGGGCTTAATAGTTGAATGCAAATCAGCAGAAGTTTGCAGTGTGCTTTCAGTGTTAACATTTGGTACACTTTGCACATCCATCTGGGTTTCTGGTTTAGATATTTTCTTGTTCCCTGAGGTAGATGGTTTAGAACGAAACGCAGTATTTTCCTCTGAGGTATTGTCATGCGGATGAAACACCATCCCGAGAAAATGATCCGTGGATGTTTTTTGTGATTTCTCCGTATTTCCAATCAAATGGTGCGACCTGTCGATAGAATCAAGTGATGCAGACAGCAAACGTTTACATGACACACGCCCAGCACATTCTTTAGCAAATGGTTCAGTTTGAGCAGAAAGCTTACTTGGTCTTCCTAAAGAAAGCCTTTTTATCCTCTCCATCTCCACAGTCCTGACCATTTTACCCTTAGAAAAATTCTGGGTGAAGTCCGTATCGCCTTTAGAAACAACCCCAAGGTTGGCGTCATTTGTGCTGCTTTTCAAATTGGACAGACTTTGTCCTCGGCTGATCCTGATATGCCTCGATATATCCCTTGCTTCACTGGCCCTACTGTCCTTCCCCATTTCCCTATTTGAGATGGGGGACCGCTTGCTTTCCTGTACACCGCTGTCACGTGTTGGAGACTCTGTAAAGGCCAGAAGTTTATTCTGCTCTGTGCTCGGATGTATATTCCCACCGTCATCTGTCAAACCACATTTCTTGGCATCACCTCCAGTGGTTCTAACTTGTGCCACGATTTGGTTGGCATTGGTATCCCCCACGTTTACTATGCTTTCATTATTATTCTTTATTTCGCTGCGGTTGTCTTGAAGCTGGGTATAACACGACTTGTTTGGAATTAATGGAGCACTCATTTTGAACCTTCGGGTGGCTGCTTTCTGGCAGTCCTAATTAATGAGAAGGCTTTTTGTCCACTATCAGGTTAATTCATACTTAGCGACACAGTTAAGTTAGAAATTGATCAGTAGAAAATTCCTTGTCAGAAGGCTTGGAGTCTCTTGTCAGAGTCACATTTTTGCGCCGCTCAGTCGTTTTCAGTGCAGCTTCTGGACCCAGGAAATCTTTATGACATGTGGTAGAGAGGTTCAACAAAACCAAATTGGATCTGTCAGGTTCTTTCTGACCGAGATCTGGTTACTCCAGACAACCTGGAAGAAAAGGAGTAGACAACATTACACTGATGTCATGAATTATGCTACCTAAAAGAAAGTTAAAATCAGCAGTGCTCTTCAGTATATCGCCAGGTTTGAATGCCTTAAAATACTTGAAATGCTGTTATAGCCATCGCTTTGCGCACATTCAGATTCCTCGTGTAGCATAAATCTCTGACTATTAAAGTTATACAGTTGTAACTCCTAGTTAGAAGAATGATTGCTACTGATTTTAAATCACCGAGATTTACAACTGGAAATAGCCATGAATAGCTAGGTCAGGTTGAAACCCTACGTCAAGGGTCTGAGCACTTTTACACTGATATAATAATGTTTTTAAAGCTACACAGTATAGATAAGCCATTAATAATAGAGCTCCAGCTTCATTAGGGATGTTTATGGGTTTCTGTCCTTGCCTTGTACATATTATTTCTGAGCTCGTGCTGACATCACCTCCCCCTTGACATTTCTTAGCCAAATCCATAGAAGCCAAGACAGGCTGCAGCTAGAGCTCTGCAAAGAACAACTGTATTTTGCTAAGAGACAGCTGCATATGTGGATATTCAAACATAGGAGATTATACAGTGGTTCCAAAATCCTTTTGGCTCCCTGCCACCTGCGGCCATTGGAGCCCTGCTCCTCTGACACCTCCAACAAGCTGAAGGGGAGATTTCTCTCCATATGATGCCTAAATCCATTCTCTCAGTACTTTTTTCACAATAACATTGTGCCAACTCGAAGCACCTGCAGTACTCGCAGCATCCTGGGTTTCTGAATAAGGGCTCAAAAGACTCTAATTAGAAGTGCACATTAAGTCCCCTGTGTGCACTGTCCAGAGCATCTGGGAGCACATCTGGGCTCATATTTCTAGCACCTGCTATGGGCAGGTCCTCCAAGCCTAGTGCTCAGCTCAGGCCCTGCTCAGAACCTCTGCAGCTGAGTCCAGATCTGGTTTCCCGACACTGCACAGTTTGGATTCTGGGCTCTCTGCTCAGTTCCATCTCAAAAGCAAACAATAACTAATTAAATTAATTCATGAAGCAGAACGCAGTGTTTCATTTCAGCAGCACAGAATTGTGTTATTGCAGATTTCATCCTCAAAATGCTGTAAAGCAACACTTTTTAACTACTTCTGTGTTCTCTGTTCTGCCTTATGCCCAGAGGAAAAAAAAA